TATGTTCATGATGTATCAATATTGGTCTTTTTTTTTTTTTCCCCCTGGTAATGTCTTTGTGTGGTTTTGATATTGGGTATGCTGGTCTCAAAGATCAACTTGAGAGATGTTTTCTGGACTGAATTTGCATAAAATTAATTTTTTTTCCCCTAAACATTTGGTATAATAATTCATCAGTGAAGCCATCTGGGCATATAGTTTTCTTTGTGAGAAGGTTTTTTTGTTTTTGTTTTTGTTTTTGTTTTTTGAGAGGTTTTCGCTATAGGGCGTGTGCGCTCTCCAGACAGACAGAGACATAGAGACAGAAAGCGAGGAATCACCCCCCAGGGGGGATGGTCACACCGCAATCCCTTCTCCTCCATTCTCCTCTCAGGATCTTGGGCACGCATGCACACGCGCCCGGCGTGAGTTTTAAGCCACCGGGTCCGGGATGTGAACCGCGGTCGACTACGTGGGAGTCCAGCGACATAGCCATTACACTAACTGCTGGTTCCCTGTGAGAAGGTTTTTTAACTACATATTTAGTTTCTTTGATAGAAAGAAGGTTATTTAGGTTATCCATTTCTTGAGAGAGTTTTGATAGTTAATGTTTTTTAAGGAATTTGACCATATTGTCTGAATTGTCTTTTATTGCAAAAATTGTTCATAATGTTCCCTTCTGTTGTTTCAGTATTTGTAAAATCTGTATTCATTCCACTTTTCTCACTTCTGATATTGGTAATTTATGTCTTAGGTCTCTTTATTGATAAGTACAGATAAAGGCTAACCAGATTAATTTTATTGATCTTATCAGTGTACTAATATGAAAATGCTTCAAAAGGCTTGTGGGAAAATGAAATTAAAATAAAAGATTATTTAGTACAAAATTCTTTTTTTATTAAAGACTGCCCTTGGGCCTAGCAGGTGGTTTGGTGGTTAAGGTGCCCACTCTCACATGGCTGACCATGGTTCAAGTCCCAGACTTGGTGGCTTACTTTCTCACACCTTCCCCCACCCCAGTCAAATTGAAATAAGTGAATAAATAAAATTAAATGAATAATTTTAGAAAAAGACTGCCCGTATATTTGGTTTATTGATGTTTTCTATAATATTCTTCTTTATTCTGCTTTAGGTGTTTCTACTTTGATTCCTTCTTCCCTCCCTGCCTTCTTTCCATTTGCTCTCTTTCCTTCCTTCTCCTCGTTCTCTCCCTCCTTCCCAATTTAATTTGCTCTTTTTCCAGTTTCTTAAGGTAGACTCTGATATTGATTTAAGGCCTTCATTCTTTACATAGGTGTTTCTATAAATTTTCTGCTAAATATTGCTTTACTGTTATCTTCCAAATTTCAATATGTTGTATTTTTATTTTCATTTAATTCAAATAACTTCATAATTTCCCTTTTGATTTCTTCTTTGACCTTTTTTCTATTGATTATTTAGATATGTATTTCTAATAGCTTCTAAGTATTTAGAAATTTTCCTAAGATCTTTCTGTATGACTTGAATATTTTTAGACTTATAGTGACTTACTTTATGACTCATAACATGGTTGCCCTTGCTAAATGGCTGTGTACACTTAAGAGGAATGTCTATCCTCCTGTTGTCAGGTGAAGGACTCTAAGAAAGGCAGTTAGTTCCAGTTGGCTGATGCTAGTGTTTACGTTTTCTGTATTCTTGCTGATTGTCTGTATACTAGTTCTGTCCATAACTGAAAGAGGGATGTTTAAAGTATCCATCTATAATTGTGAATTTGTCTGTTCAGTTCTCTTAGTTCTTACTGTGTATTGAAGCTCTGTTATCTGGTGGGTACATACTTGGGATTGTTGTGTCTTCTTGGTGAACCCTTTATTATGTATTGTCTTTTTTTGGTGGGGAGGGGTTTGCTATAGGGTGCGCGCGCTCGCCAGAAAGACAGAGCGAGGTGGAGACAGAAAGTGAGAAATCACCCCCCTGGGGGGGGGTATGGCCACGCTGCGATCCCTTCTCCATTTTCCTCTCGGGATCTTGGGCATGCATGCACATGCGCCCAGCATGAGTTTAAGCCACTGGGTCCAGGACTCAAACCGCAGTTGACTACATAGGAGTCCAGCGACATAGCTACTATGCCAACTGCTAGTCCCATGTATTGTCTTTTTTATGTGAACTTTTTTCCCCTTACTTTATTTGCATTTAATAACTGTACATCTTTGCCACATAGAAAATGAATCTTCCCAGCATGAATACACTGTATATTTGTTCAGTCAAAGATATTGGGGGACCAGCAGTTAGCGTAATAGCTATGTCGCTGGACTCCCACGTAGTCGACCACGATTCACATCCCGGACCCGGTGGCATAAAACGCCGGGCGCATGTGTGTGCGTGCCCAAGATCCCTAGAGGAGAATGGAGGAGAAGGGATTGCAGAGTGGCCATCTCCCCTGGGGGGGTGATTTCTCGCTTTCTGTCTCTCTGTCTCTGTCTGTCTGACGAGTGCACGCGCCCTATAGTGAAAACCTCTCCAAAAAAAAAAAAAGATACTACTGTATACATCATCATCAACAGATAATTTTCTACATTTGCGTCTGTTAAATGTTTTGCTATATTGTCTCTTTTTATCTTGGTTATTTTCTTTGCTCTGAAATCTTTGATGTTACTGTAGCCTCTTTAGCTTTCTTTTGAGTGGTGGTTTTGCTTTGCTTGGAATGTGTTTCTCTGTCCTTTTACTTTTAATTATTTGTTTACTTGAATGATTTTATTCTTGGCTAAGAGTGAATTGTCACTTGGGAAATTTTCTTCTGAGTTTTGAACCCTCTTTGGAGATACACACAAAATGCCATAGTTCACTCATAACTTCCTTCCTTGCCGTTTTTTGGTCTATTTTCCCTTTGGTCTTTCTTGCTTTCTATGAGAATTCTATCTTTCATGCTGCTATGACCACTGTCATAGATTTTCTCTAGACTGGCTCATTGGTGGTCTCTGTTTAGGTTGCTGGGGATAGCAACACAGTCCTTCTTCCTGTGGCAGTTGTTTTAGTGGAGTGAGGCAGACAGTAAACAAATACATACTTTTTTTACCAGTGATGATAAAGTGCTGTGGGGAAAAAAGCATGGAATAAGGGAATAGCAGAGTAATGGTGGGTTGGGCAAGGAGGGTGGTGCTTTAAGAGAAATGGTCCTAGGGACAGGCAGATGTCATAATGGTTACATCACTGGACTCCCACATAGTCGACTGTTGTTCGAGTCCTAGATCTAGTGACTTAAAATTCATGCCGAGCGCGTGTGCATGCCCTCCCAAAATTCCAAGAGGAGAATGGAGGAAAATGGATTGAAGTATGACCAGACCCCTGGGGGATGATTTTTTGCCTTCTATCTCTCTGGCAAACACACATGCCCTGTAGCAAAAATCTCTCTCTCTCTTCCCCCCCCCCTTTTTTTTTTGAGAGAGAGAAATGGTTCTAGAAGGCCACTCTGTAAGGAGTGACATTTGAACCGAGACATAATAGATGTGAGGAATGAGCTATAACATGTGGAACTTGGGCATATAACACTTCCTATAGAAGAAACAGAGTGTGCAGGGACCAGCAGTTGGCGTTAATGGCTATGTTGCTGGACTCCCATGTAGTCGACTGTGGTTTGAATCTCAGACCCGGTGACTTAAACTCACACCGGGCACGTGTGTGTGTGTGCCCAAGATCCCGAGAGGAGAATAGAGGAGAAGGGATGGCTGCGTGGCCATCCCCCCAGTGGGTGATTTCTTGCTTTCTGTCTTTCTGTCTCTGTCTGTCTTTCTGGCGAGCGCACACGCTCTGTAGCAAAATCCTCTCCAGAAAAAAAAAGAAGAAACAAAGAGTGCAAGGACCTTGGGTGGGACATAGAGCTATGCTTGAGAGTTCTGAGAAGAGTGGCTAGAACAAAGTAGGTAATGTTGAAAAGAACATTAAAAAGATCATCTTAACCAACTAGAACATTGCAGAAGTCTCAAATACCATGCTGAGCACTGTCCTTTAACTATATTGTGGTTCAAATCAACAGTACAAGGGAGGAGGGGTGGGCAGGGGAAAGGATGCTTCTTGTTTTGTATTATCATCCAGCAGACTACTGATGCAATTGTTGGCCTTTTGACTAATGGGCTGCAGGGTGTGCCTGTTAGCATTGGTCTTATCTGAGTAAATGAACATTGATTTTCTTACCCAAGGTTTCAGTACTTTTTTGTTCTTTGTCAGTTCTTAGGTCTACAGGTTAGTCTTTGATGAATTTCATGACTTTTTGAACCTTTTTTTCTAACTTGTGAAGTATACTCGATAGGACTCACTTTCCTCTCAGGTGTAGCAAGTCACTTGTGAGACCCTTTGGAAAATTAGAAGACTATTTAGAAGATGTTTTTACAAAGAAAATCAACTAATGGTTTAAAATTTTTGGTTATGTTGATAAGTTAGAAAATTTTTTTCTTGCACCCATAATTTTCAATTAAATCTTACTATTTCAGACAGAATTTCACAGTTACAGTCCTTCTACCTCGACCTCTCAGCTGAGAATATAGGTGTGCACCACCATGCCTGGCTCTTTTTTAAGGTCTCACTATATTGACTAGGTCAACCTTGAGCTCATGATCCTTTTGCTTCTCCTGAGTCACTGGGATTGCAGGCACTTGATTCCTAACCCAGCCTTTACCTTGGGCCAGAAACCAAATCCCATGTGGTTCTGTAGAGCTCAACCTCCTAGCAGCACACATCACCACAACTGGACCAGTTTTACTATAGTTTCTAGTAACTTCCTCTGTATGTAATGTTAAGTGCTTTTTTTGCTTCCATGAAGTTTGTTTGTATGCATATTTTCACAAGAATGTAATAAGAAAGTCCATAAAAGACAGGCATGCTGCTATGCTTCTGTTGAGCTGGTCAGCTGGTAGTTTTTGTTTTGATAAAGGCGTGTTTGTGGGTGTGTACTTCATGTATCTAGGCAGAGTAAAATGAAAACATTAACTAAAATAGTAGAATTATGTATTTCAGAATACAGGAATTCATAGCATTTTATTTTATTGCAGGTATTTTTTGGTGGATTTTTATGCACCAACAACCACGGTTCAAAGCATGATGGAACATTTGTCTCGAGACATTGATGTGATTAGACCAAATATTGTAAAGCACCCTCTGACCCAGGAAGTAAAGGAGTGTGAAGGGATTGTCCCAGTTCCACTCGAAGAAAAGTTATATTCTACAAAGAAGAAGAAGAAGTGAAAAGACTCACCAGATTCAAGCCTTATAATTAATTCTCTTACATTTGAGCAGCGTGGATGAATAGTTGATACGCTTGGCCTTTATATGAGAGCATGTTGTGGTGCCATTTGATTTTTCTGAAGTATTTTTAGCTCTTGATTGCCTTTGCTTCAAGAGGGGAGCAAACTCCCCACTGGGAACTGCTCTGCAATCTGTGGGTCCAGCAGATCACTCTCAATTTCATTTTTGTTAATGTTCTTTCTTTGTCAGTGGGGACTTCCCTCTTACAAACAGGAACACACCAGTTTGAAGAACAAAACTCAGAGAACTACCTTGGATTGCAAGCTGGTCATTCAGACTCTATAACCATGCAACAGTAAAAATCCAAGACCACTGTAGTATATGGGCAACTTGTGATCAGAGTAATAAACATGCTTTCAGAAAACCCAGGAGGTGTTCTTTTTTCCTTACCTGCCCCACGTAGTACACTACCCAAGGCATGCAGTTCCAATCTTGCTGTGAATGACTGGTGTGTGGGAGGCTGTCCCTGGTTATCTTCTGCAGTGCAGAGACTGGGAGAAGTGGGGGGCCCAGGAAGGTATCTGTGCCTGACCACTGGGCATTCCACAGGATCAGTCCCTTCCCCCATTACCTCTCATGCATCTTTAGTAGTAGGTGTGTCGAGTTCTGAGCAGTTGTTCTGGCCTGCTCCCTGCCATTCTTGGTCTTTAGCACCTACCTTCCTCCTGCCTCTCAACCCCGGGAAGTCCTCTTTGAGGAAGTAGCCTCCAGCACTGGGATAGCTTCTCTGATGGATGTGTCCCTGGAACAGTCACTCACTGCTCCTTCTCAGTCTCCTCAGGGTTAGAGAATACCAGAGACTTAATCAGCCTTTTCACTTTCCTTGAGGGTTTCCCGCACAGGTGGCCTGTCACAAACACAGATGGCAGAGGAGGAAGTCTAGTTACTAAAACTCTGTTTCTGTTGGTTTATATAGTTAGATCACTTTAAAAGCAGGAAGGAGCCGAGAAATCTGACTTTTTTTTTTTTTAATTGTTTTATTTATTTATTTATTTACTTTAAAAAAAATTTGATCGGAGAGGGACAGAGAAAGTGAGAAAGCAAGCTGCCAGGTCCAGGACTCGAACCGAGGTTGGTTATGTCGGAATCCAGTGCCCTTAACCACCATGCCACCTGCTGGTCCCATCTCTACCCTACTTTTAATTGTGACAAAATGGAAGGACAGGGAGATGTGCAGGAGATGCCCATCCCCCCAACAGCCAAGGGAGCCCCAGAGATCTGGGAGGAGCCAGTCTCGTTGCCCCTTGTCTAGAGCTTACTCCTCTGTAGAGCCACTTGTCTATGCACTAGGTCATCCATTTCATTACTTTACTTATTCTTAAGAGCCTAAGCAGCATCTAGCTTCAACTTCCTCCAAAGGCAAAAGGCTATAAAAAGTTCTTTTGAAGAGTTTAGTTAAAGAGTTAAGAACTGGAGACAGGAAATAAAAGGGATAAAGCAGATATTACATGGGAAAGCATGTTATCTCCTGCTTCATTAGGAGTTTCCTGAGAGTGCTGGCTCTTGGCCAAGGCTTGTGAGCCTAGACTCTTCTACCAGACAAATTGTGCCTTGATGTGCTTTCACTCAGGTCCTCTGGGAGGTATAGTTTTCCTTTGCCATGACATTTGTTATGCACACACTGCATGTCATGTACCATGCTGCACACATCTCTGTTAGCCTCGTTTAGTACTCTCAGCAGCCCCACAAGGGAGCATTGTTAGTTAGCCATGTTTTTTGGGCAAGGAAACTGACTCAGATTTGACCATGACCTAACATCTACTAAGTGACAGCTGGGATCTTGGACTTATGACCTTGATGCCATATGGTCTGTTCATCCTATAATAGTAAGGTGTTTATGCCCTCCCACTTGGGTGTTGGGTGGATTGCCACCACCCAGGAGTGTCCATCTTCCTGCCCTGAGTAAGACTGGGGTCATTTGTTTTCCTACACTTGCTAGTCCCTAAGAAAATGATCGACACCATTGGGTGTCAGTATTCACAGTTCTGTGGCACAGTTTTAGAAAGTGCTAGGACAAGACTGGCTAAGTAGGACAGCCATTCACTGTGCCATTTCCCCTCCTTGGAACTCCAAAATGAAGCCACTGTCCCCCTTGCGTGCCCGCCCCCCCAAACCGGCCACTTATTCATGGATAGACCCTCAGCATACCTGTGAGGAAAGAAATGATTTTACATATTTTCCTTGGAGGAGCACAGAGAGGGCTGAGGTTTTCAGATGTCCACATAAGGCAGGCGGTGTGGTCCAGATGTGAAAGTGCTTGCTCAGTGATCCCAACTGAACAGGATGTGCTTTGAAATGTATGTGGGAGCATTGGAAAATTGCAAATCATTCTTAGTCACAGTGGTCTGGGCTGTTGCCATTTGTATTAGGAGGACTCTGCAGAGATTACTGCCTCTGCAATGGCCTTGTGATGCCACCTGCCAATCCCACCCTGACTTCTCTAGAAATAGGTAAGTATGGCATTGACGTGTTACGTTTCTAGGGCAATTTGTGAGGTTCTTGTTTACCTTGAAAAATACTCCGCAGTGAAATAAGCATAGAACTTTGGTTGGAGATCTGGTCAGAGGCTCTGGCTTTGTAATGCACATGCTACCTGGCCATGGACACCTTTTTTGGCTTCCTTGACCCAGTGTCTTCATACGGAAAACATAGGTCTCAAAGTGCTCTGTCAAGTCCATAATGCCCTACACTAAATTCCACTGTCCATTTGGTTGTTGGGTTGTTCTCTCAGTGACTCAGGAACTTGGTGGTTTAGGATAGGGAGATGGGGAAGGGTTAAGAGAATTTCTCAGAGGCGTATTCTTTGCACATGTCTTTTCCTGATAAGCATAGCTGTTGTTTTCCTAACCTGACTGTGGGTTCTATGGGGCTACTCTATGTAATTCTAAATAGGACAGGCATTGTACTTAATCACAAGACAACAGCCAAGGGAGCCCCAGAGGTCAGCACAGTCATTTACTGGGTGCATATTGCCACCATTCTTCTTGCTCTCTGAAAACGAAGCTTTAAGGGACATGGACTCAGAGACAAATAAAGGTAAGAGGTATTCTTTTAGTCCACAGGAGGAAAACTGTTGTAACCAAGAAGTCTGTGGATGATGGTGAAGTCTGAATTATGGATAGCCGCACTTTGACCCCAGTGCCTAGGTAATAGTGATAGCAGTGATTCCTAGGAATGTTGCGCATTCTCAGCTCCCCAGCAACCAATGAGATTGACAAAAGTCAGACTCCAGCAACCAAATCTCACCTCAAAGGGAAGCAGGTCCTTTGGTTACTAGAAGGAAGCAGAATTCATGTCTGGGTATTGCATGTGAACCCTTACTCCTTCAACACAAGCATCGCATTTCCAGAAGGGATTTGCCCTGTGACAGTGCCATTGTGAGTGGAAAACACAAGTATTCATTGTTTAACAGACAGGCCCAGAAGTGAGGATTAAGCAAAATGGACTCTTGACCCCATCATTCTAAGTAAGTGGGAGAAGCCATTGTTCCCATAATGCTCATATTGAGCTAAATGATGTGATTCAGACTAGCACCCTTTGTCCAAAAGGATCCCCAAATGTATATAAACTCTCTGTAAAAAGACTGGTTATTACTCTTTGACTTGCTGTTACTCTGTACAGTTTATCTTTGTTATTGGTGGATTCCAGACTTGCCAATTCATCTACTCACTGAGAATTTACTGGTAACCCCCAGATCAATACTCATGTTTTTGTGGTCATTCATTGATATGCATAGAGTGGCAAAAAGTGAGTCTCCTGACAAGCTTGGTCCCAGCCAGCATCAAACAGAGCAACTCTCTGTCACCTTTTTTCTCTCCCAACTGTAGGTGAGTGTCTTTCACAGTCTATTTTGTGTCATGTTTTTGCATTTGTGTGCTTTTTGGTTGGTGGTTTCATTATGTCAGATGGTCCCACGCGTAGTGCTGAAGTGCTGTCTAGTGTTACTAAGCTCAAGAAGGCTGAGATGTGCCTTAGGGAAAAAATATGTGTTACATAAGCTTTTTGTAGTGATCATGAGTTATAGTAAGCTTGAGTTACAGTGTGTTTGAGCCTTGAGTTCAACATTAGTGAATCAATATATAGTAAATAAGATGACTTTAAAAAGAAATGTAGACAAAATGATCATGTATTGATGGGTTGGCATAACCATTGTGACTAGAGGCTAACCTGACCCTGTATTTCCCCTAGGAGCAATGACTTGGTATTCTATAAATCAGTGTTCACAGCGAATTTATGGAACATAACTGCAAATAATGAGAATCAAGTGTATTTGACTCTGAGACTTATGCTTTGTTTTTTGTTGAATACCTCTTCAACATCTTTCTATGTAATTTTCCAGATGTTATCTGCAATAAGGATTTTTATTCCTACCATATTCTTTTGCTTGTTGTGTCTTCTACCATCATGACTTGTTTTCTCATTTACAGGTACTTTCATTGTCTTCCAGCAGCTGTCCATCAAGAAGTCATGACACTGAAACAAGCCAGGAAGCTTCTCTTTGAAAGGAACACTCAAGCAGTACCTTGACAAAGCATGACACTCCGGGAGACTGACTTACATGGGGAGGTTGCAGGTTCACATTCGGAGACCTCCCCGAGTATGACAAATGCATGTGTGCTCATGATCTTGGGCTGACTGAGGCCGGAGGGGAATTGTGGCATCAGGACCCTTTTGGGAGTACCTCTCTTTTTGTCATGGAAGAAATAAATCAGTAAATAAAGTAAAATAGTAAGAAGTACCTTGGCAGACATCTTTGGTGTTGGGTCCAGAAAGAACCTAGACACAGTGCCCCATTTATCTTCTCCCCTTAGGAGGAGGGAGATTTGGTGGGGGTTAGTTAAGACCATGGAAAGGGAAAATTAAGCAAATGTAGCAACTGCCTTCTCATGGTGCCATGATATCTCAGGGTCTTTCAAATACTATCCAAATAAAATGCATTTTAGTCAATATTAAGACAATAGCAAATGGTTATTTGCAAAGCAAAATCCTAGGAATTTTAAAGGTGATGATTTGATAAAGTTAATGATTATAACTAATTTTTTTAAAAAAATTATCTCCATTTGTTATTATTTTTTAATTTGACCAGAGAGAGAGAATGGGAAAACGAGAAAGCAAGCCACCAGGTCTGGGACTTGAACTGTGGTTAGCCATGTGGGAATCCAGCTCCTTAACCAGTCACCTGCTGGCCCCACAACAATGGCCCCACAACAAAAATTTTAAAACTTCATTCTTCTTTGATATATCTCTTATCAGATCTAAATGTAATAATATGGAATAAGTTACTTAATGTGGTTAAGTGATATATTAAGAAAACCGCAATATTTCCTGCACCTCCTAATCATAAAACAAAGATGGTTTTGGGTTAAATC